ATCCTCCACCACCGCCGCAGCCCCAAGCAGAGCCACGGCCAAGGCCAAGGCTCCCTGATTGGACTCGTTTCGACGTTCAGCTCAGCCTCCAAAATCTGCGCAGCTTCGACCCAGCTGTAGTGCAGCGAGAACTCCGCAAACTCCACCTGAGATGGTTTCACGCCAAGGAGCCAAAAATGCGGATGATTCTCACCAAGGTTGGTCTGGGTGAAACCCGTCTGAGTCTGATCAAAGGCATTTGTGACTCGTGTAGAGAGTGTCGAGCCTGGGACAAACCAGGCAACACGGTGATGCCTTCTGTGTCACTGCCAGGACATTTCAACGAGGAAGTCGAATGTGATCTTTTCTTCTACAAACAGGAACATATTGTTTTTCACATCATCGACCGTTGTATTCGCTGGGCAGCTGGCACTGAGATTCCTGATAAAGCTATGCATACTGTTCTCGATGCCTATCACACGACTTGGATGCAGCATGGCCCTGCTAGAATCTTATACTCCGATGGGGAAGGAGCACTGAATAACGATACAGCAAAGGCCATCCTTAAGGCTAAGGGAACAGAGCTTCGTATTCGAGCGCGTGGCCAACACGCTACAACTATCGAAGCTCGGAACGGCATCCTGCGACACCTCCTACATGTGATGGGAGAAGAATTGAATAGATTACATATCCCTCTCAATTTCACTCGTCTCTTACATGAAGCCTTGTTTGCCAGCAACGCATTTACCTTCTACAATGGAGTGTCCCCGTACAATGCGCTGTATGGCAGACAACCAGCAATGCTTCCTGATTTCCCTGTCTTGGATCATGATCAGCCTACTGAATCATCAGATCACTCAAGGGAAGAAACAATCAGGAGGGTTAGTCTGGAGGCAATCACGCAGGCCACTGCGGTTGCCAAGACGAACAGGGCTCTCCGTACAAAGACTACTGCTACGGGTGAATTTCACTATAAAGAGGGAGATCTCGTGGACTATCATCGCCCGACCACCACGAAAGACGACTGGGGTGGATGGAGCGGTCCATACCCGGTCATCCGCAACGAACCTGACCGAGGCCAGGTCATCGTGAAGGTCGGAAATCGCGAAGTGCGAGTACAGTATCCTGACACACGACACACACTGTACATCGAAGCACTTATGGTCCGCGAGATAGGATCGGACAATACGGCCCTTCGGACAGTATTGGCCTTTATTGCCGGTCTGCCAGCGGGGAAACCCGCCATGACTTTCGGATATCTACCAACAAAACAGGGTCGGCTGCAGATGACTGCTGCGAGCCGACTTTCGCCTAAAGTGCACTTGGCTCTCCAGTACCTCATACGCAACTACTTTCGTATTGAAAACGTTGTTGCTGTACGACTCGCTAAGAGCCTGACGAAGCTGCCTGCTGCACCCTATGCAGACAGCTGTACGTTAGTGCACTATGATAATGATGTGACTCCTGGCTTTCATTACTATGAAGCTGACGGCACTGCCTTGAACATCTATGATATCACAGGATCTACACACTCACGCATCATCCAGTGTCTTAAATCCAGGAAGCCGTCTGCTGGGTTTGACCAAGACCTCACTAAGTTTGAGGAACTCGCTGATGGTCCACCACCAAGCGAATCACCTCCAGCAGCTGCTCCTGAGGAGCCTCCTACGGACAACGATGGTCGGCTCCCGACCATCATAGAGGAGACAGAAGAAGATCTGGATGCTTTTGTCTTGAAGTCGTGGTATGCTGAACTGATGGATGACAGAACACTCCTTGAAGCTGACACAGAGGAAGTCATGCATACAGTTCCTACATACATGACAGACACACAGTGTGTGTTAGTCTCTACGACCTGTGAAGATGTGCAAGGCCACTTGCCGGAGCGGGGTCACCCGCCAGGATACGACATGGACACTTCTTACTACGTTCCCTTATGCTCCACGGATCCGGACAGTAAGTATGATCTGGACTCTGATGAGCACGGGAAGTACATCGAGCTCTGCTTCACTGCAGACATGTCCAAAGTTGTCCTGTCCGAGCAGCAACACCGACTGTTGGATGACAGCAGCGTCACAACTATGCGAGTATACGTTAGCGCTGCCTCCAAACGTGCCGTGGTCGTCAAGGAAGACGATCTACTCACGAAGGCCGACATCCAAGCAAATCCGGTCAAAGTCTCCAAAGCCCTCTACACAGAGCTGAAGACTTGGCTTGACAACAAATGCTTCCAGATGACTGACTTAAGCAAGGCGTCTAACATCATGACGTCACGCTACGTATACAAATGGAAGTTTGTCAAGAACGAAAAGGGCGAAATGGAAAGGACGATCCGGTTACGCTTGGTACTCCGTGGCTTCATGGACCTCGAAGCCTTTGATGTCGAAACCTTCTCTGGCACGGCAAGGAGGTCAAGCCAGAGACTGCTCGCAAGTTCTGCTGCATGCAACAAAGCTTGGATCATCGCTTCCCTGGACATCAACATGGCTTTCTTGAAGGGACTGACCTATGGCGAGCTCGC